GAACAATTGATTTATTCACTTATTTGCTAATCATGATATCTTATAGGTTTACGATTAATCGCCTCCAACCATGGTAAGCCATTTTTGTCAAATTATTTTTCTTAAAATTTAGTTTTGTTGCTTGAGGACAAGCAATGGTTTAAGTTTGGGGATTTTGATAGGTGTTAGTTTTATAGTATTTTTAGTATAGTTTTTATTAGAAAATTTAGTAAATTTTATCACTTAGATTTGTTTTTAAATTCATTTTTAGTATAACTTTGTTCAAAGCTTCCTTGAATCATAACCCACTTGATCTGAGAGAAATTTACAGGGTTTTGGCACAGAAAAGGGCATTACAAGGCAAAATACTCAGCCCTCTAGCCACACCCCAGTCCGTGCTAAATAGCACAACCGGTGCTAAAAAACTAAGGCCGTGCTAAAAACTAAGGAAATTAAGGGAGTGTCAGGAGTGAGCACGCCCTGAGGCATGCTAGAAGGCACGGCCGTGCCCAGAAGAAACTCAGGGCGTGCCAGCCTAGCACGCCCATGATAAACTCTAGCTGGGAAGGTCAGGGACAAGCACGCCTAGCCTATGCTATATGGCACGCCCGTGCCACAAGGTTTCATCAGGGTGTGCTTGCCTAGCACACTCCGTGCTCCACCAGCCAAACTTCCAGACTTAAGCACGCCCGTGCTTCGGAGGCAGAACTAGCGTGAACTAAAAACGCAAATCAATCTTTTTCTCACATGGGCCCGCCTCGGATAATTTCCTAAACGTACTAAACAAGACCTAGACCTATTTTGGAAGAAAGGAGTCCCAATTAAAAGAAATTCCCAGGCCTAAACAGTCATTTGATCTCCTATAGAAGATTTTGCACGTAAATAAGGATCTATTTCCTAAACGGAAAAGTCAGATTGCCTTCAGGAGCTCTATATAAAGAGGGGGAACTTTTCATATTTGGGACATCTTTCGTTTTGGAAGTTGCTTTCCTACATAAAATGTCTCTCTCTCTCAAGGGTCTCAAAGCATCAAGATTGTTGCCAAGATTCAAGGAAAGCCATCCACAATAGCTGTTACCTAGTTTTATCTCTAAACTCTTAATCTTTTTTCTTTTCATGTTATTACTGATTTATGAAGATTGATTCAAGCAGTATTACTATATTTAATTACTATGTCTAGCTAAACTCTTATACTAGGGATATTGATTTGTAAACTTAATTCGATTTCCAGTTATAATAATTAGATTTTGTTCTTCATTGTTCTTTGTATATTATATTAAGCCTTTTAAAAGCTTCCAAGGCAGAATTTTTCCACCTGGATTGAACTATTTCATTAATCACTATCGGGAGAAGGGTTTTTAATATGAAAAAAAGATAATAAATTAACTTGAGGAATAATAATTTTGATGCGGAAGCTAATGCGGAAGCTATTATGGTTTGACTCAAGGGGGCTTTCATAAGTTAATGACCTTAAGTTATGAAATTCACAAAACAAAAATCACAAAAACTCAATGATTTAATTTTATGTTTGATTTCGCTATTGAAAGATAGTAATTAGACTAAGATTTAGAATAGCTAACAATTACTCGGAGAGCTTGTTAGTGATTTCAGGTTGTTTTCCTACTTCAACAATTAAAATTGATTAATAAACTAATAACATAAACTGATAGGAATAAGTGAAATCAATTTCCCTTAGTAGTTTAAATCCCTATTTCTTTTCATCTTAAATTTTGTTGCTTGATCTCTTTCTGTTTTTTATGTTTCAAATTTACTTTCCTTATAACAAATCTTTTACTTTCCTTATAACAAATCTCTCCTACTGTCGTTTAAATAATAATAGGTTAACATAATTTTGGTACTCGATATACAATCCCTGTGGATACGATACTTCTTCACTCTATATTACATGTTGCGATTTCGTACACTTGCAAAAATCAATGTCATCATCCCAACAACAGCAGCAGCTGCAACAGCAATAATTACTGCCACAGCAACTGATTTCTTAGTATTTGTGAACTTTGGGGAATTGTTTTCCCTAGTAGCATTACTAAGATCTGCATTTCCAATTGCACTGACAGAAACCCAAGGCTTGAATTCAGGTATGACTCCATAAAGCTGATTGTTTGAGAGTATCAACTGTGTAAGTGATCCCAATTGAGTAAGAAAACTTGGAATCTCACCCGAGAATTTGTTGTTTGAAAGATCCAGAATTTCCAAATCCCCGAGTTGGGAAAGTGTATTCGGAATAGCCCCTTGAAAGAGATTGCTGCTGAGATTCAAAGCAATCTGCAGTTTTGCTGGCATTGTTGGAATCCTCCCACCTAGTTGATTTTCTCCGAGTTGGAGCTCTAACAGAGAATTCATGCTACGGATACTGTCAGGTATTGAACCCCTAAGATTATTGCCTTGTAAGTCCAAATGGGAAAGGCTTTGCAAGTTTGAAATGGAAGAAGGTATGAAACCAGTAAGTGAATTCCAGCTGATATTAAGAATTGACAGCTTGTGTAATTGAGAGAGAGATAATGGGATTTCTCCAGCCAGCTTGTTGAGTTGTAGTTTCAGAACCTGAAGATTGCTAATATCACCCAATTGCACCGGTAAACTACCCGTGAGATTATTCTGAGCCAAATTCAAGAGAGCCAAACCTTGGCAAGAACCTAACTGAGTAGGTATCGCACCAGTCAAGCCCTAACTGAGTAGGTATCGCACCAGTCAAGTTATTGTTATTCATCTCCAAGTAAGTCAACTTATGAGATGAAGTGAGTGAAGAAGGTATTGACCCATTAAGCAAATTACTTCCCAATCTCAGTCTGATCAAGTTTTGAGATATATTTCTAGGTATTGAACCATCCAACAGATTATAAGACAAATCCACAGATATCAAATTCAACTGTGATAAGAGGTCTAATGGAATAGACCCACTTAACTTATTATAACTAAGATCTAAAAGAGTAAGATATTTCGTAATTCCACTGGGAATTGCACCAACAAACCCATTTTGATTTGCTGCAAACCTATACAGAGTTGGAATGTCTGCAATAGTTTTGGGGATTTCTCCAGTCAAATTGTTGGCGGACAGAATCAAAGTATTCAGCTTTGTGAGATTACCAATCGAGTTAGGAATAGGCCCCTCAAGGTTATTTGCACTAAGATCAATGAAGGTCAAATTTTGATAATTAAATATTTCCTTAGGTATGTCACCTCGGAATCTATTCGCAGAAAGCTTGACATCCTCTAACACCATAGATTTTCCAAGTTTTACAGGAACAGAACCATAAGTTCAAGTAATCCATCTAATTGCAAACTAATATTACCAGTCAAATTATTAAAAGACAGGTCCAAAGATTCTAACCCAACAAAACCATTAAAAATAGGCAAATAACCACCCAATATATTTCTGCTAAAATTCAGCACCTTTAACCCGCTAATCCTTCCACAACTGTCAATAAACTCCCTTGGGACTGAGCTGAAGTGGTTATTAGAGAGATCAAGGGACTGTAAAGATTCAATCTTGCAAACAAGAGACAAAAACCCAGAAGAAACTCCAAACCCAGATAAAAAAAGGCCTGTAATAGATGTATTGTCAGAGCTGCATTTAACTCCCTTCCAAGAACATGGTTCTGGCTTTAAAGTAATATCCCATTGTAAAACAGGGTTAAGCTGTCGGGAGAGATTGATCATGATCGATGTTTGGTTTGGAGATAAAGATAACCCAAAAGGAAATAACAAGAACATTAACAAGGAATACATAGCCAAAGACAAAAACAAATTAGTTTCACTGCCACACGCATACCTTCCCATTTCTAGCTTGTATTGTGTTGGGTTCTCTCGGACTTCTCTTTCTATACTATATATATAGCTATATTGCATAAAAAAAACATATAAATATTTTTTTAAATTCAGTTTCAGCTCTGGTATATAGAAGGAGACAGGAGCAAATAAGAGCAGAAGAAAGAAGAGAAATCAATAGAATAGCATAAGAATAAGAATAAGAATAGATTTGGAGAGAGAGGGATTTGAGGTTTGCGCATTGTAAGAAATGTTTTAATGTGGTTCTGTGTTTGTGGGAAAAAAACGAAAAGAAAAAAGGAAATGCGTGGGGTTATGGCGTGTTGGGAATGGAGTTGACTGTGGACTGCTACTGCCTGCAAAAGAAGGAAGACCGAGGACTTACTGACTGACTGACTGACAACCATTGGCTGGTTTGGTTTGAGGTGTAGCTTTGTGTTATGAGTTTTGGAGTTTGAGGTCTTGTCCTTTTGGGTGGAGTAAACCTTGTCTTTTTCATTTTTATTTTTATTTTTTATTTTTTAACTAATGGACACAGATAAAGACGAGCAAATGGTCCGATTTAAATCGAATCAAAGCTAATAAATGTAAACTTTGTATGACAAATTGAATTAAATCCAAATTAATGGAATTGACTTGAAATAAATCAGTCAGTTTAAACAAATTTAATCAATTTTTACTATATTAATTTGATTTTAAATTCAATTAATAAATTTTTATAAAATAATTGAATTAAATAATAAATTCAGTTCAAGTCTAGTAATAGGATAAACTAAACCTCCATTAAATTTTTTGATTTGGTGCCCCTAAACACAAATGGAAAAGCAATGGAACAATAACACAAACACCTTTGAAGAAATTAGAAACCTTGCCTTTAAATAATACATATATTTTTTAAAAATAATGAACTGGTGTTACAAATCAATTTTTAGTATTTCGTTCTAGATAGACGAATATCATAGTTCTGTGTGGACAAAAATAACTTATTCATATTAAAATTTATAAAATTTTAATTATATTTGTAGTGTATCACCCTTTTAATTTTTTTTCTATTAGTTCTAGATAAACGAATATAATAGTTCTGTGTGGACAAAAATAACTTATTCATATTAAAATTTATAAAATTTTAATTATATTTGTATTGTATCACCCTTTTAATTTTTTTTCTATTATTTTTTCTATTATAATTGAGTATTTGAAGTATTAAACAAGTCGTAATCAATTGCAGTTGCCGAACTTTTTTTGCCAAAAGTATTAAAAATAAATAATTTTACTCAATAAATGATATTAAACATATACATACATTCAATTCCTTTATATTTTTTCATTTTTTTTATTTTTTATTGTCTTATATCTTTTCTAAAAAAACAGTCTTAAAACTTCCTTTTGATTATCTTTCTTTCGATTATAAAACAAAATAAGTAAAAAATGATAATAATATATAAAATAAATAAAATAAAGTAATGTGGTAAAATAATTCATTTTGATTATGAGAGCTCACTGAATACATTTAATTGTACGAAAATTATTAATCTGGACACTTAATTGTAAAATTTTCTATTCGACACTTACAAAGAAAACATTTAAAAATTTAGATACTAAAAATATAAATTGATCCAATTTTTTAAAGTTATTTCATTTAAATATAAACCACAAAGGAATCATTTTATATACTTCTAGTCTAATTTTAAAAATTAAATCTAATCAACAAATTCAAAAGTAATTTAATTTTATTAAATTTAAATTTCTATATTGAGATTAACACATTATAAAATAATTTCTTTACAACTTAAATTGGAGAATTTGATGTAATCAACAAAATAAATAACAAGCTAAATAGGGATGAAAGTGGCACTAATATCTGTGAACTTTGAACTATTCGTACCTATATCTCTTTAGAATTTTACTACCATATACATTTCAAATTGTTTAAGTACCGATATAATTTAAAACTCGAAATCATTTAAAATATATATTTTTTTAACATAGCGGATAACAAGCAACGGTTACTCAAAAACGTATTTTACCTATATTTATTTCACTGTTCGCATCTTTTTAAACTCATGTATAACTATTTATATATTTATTAAATGGATAGGAGGAGAACAGATACCTAAAATCCTAATTCTGCTTCCATCCCTACAGCTGAGTTTCCAAGTAAGTGTGATCCTTGAAATTTTAGTTTATAAAGGGAATGGAAAAAGAGGGCAATTGCCAGGGAGGAGACATATAGTGTTTTTGTATGTGTATGTGGAAAATAATGCCTCCAAAGACCAAAACCAAGTCTTCTGGGTGGGGTCCTTCTAAAGAGATTGAATAGCAAAGGAAAGTTGTTTATTGTATATTGTTATAATACGTATATATACACAAGTATTGATAAGATTGAGATACAAATACGTAACAGAAAAGCTAAAGATAAGTATACACCATAACAAACTTATCTTACACTAACATGCCCCCTCAAGCTAATGACTCTTTGGAACAAAGCAGTAGCTTGTTTCTTAATGACCTTCTTTGGAACAAAGCCAAGTAAGGCTTGTTTTCTCAGAATCAAGAAACCGTTGCCGTCGGAAGCGCTTTAGTCAAACGGAAGCGCTTTAGTCAAACAATCAGCTAGTTGATCTTTTCCAGATATGAAACGAACAATCAATTCTTTCCTTGCCACTTTATCTCTCACAAAATGAACATCAATTTCCACATGCTTCATCTTACTATGAAACATAGGATTGGCAGTCAAATAGGTGGCCCCAAGATTGTCATACCACAAGATTGGTGGGTTCTTTAATACAATACCCATTTCTGAAAGCATACTTTGTATCCATGTTAATTCGGCAGTTGTTGAAGCTATGGCACGATACTTCGCTTCAGTGGAAGAACGAGATATAGTCTTTTGTTTTTTGGAATTCCAAGAAACCAAGTTGCCACCAAAATATATTAAAAATCCCGTAGTTGACCGACGATCGTCAACAGAACTTGCCCAATTTGCATCACTATAAGCAGAAATTCGTGAAGACGAAGCTGGTTTGTAAAGAATGCCATACCCTATTGTCTCCTTCAAATAACGCAGTAACCGCTTCAACTCACCGAAGCCAGTGCTCCTCCATTTGGATCTGCATGTAATAACCAATTTTGTTAACAATAAAAATTAAATATCTGGGCCGTTGGTCAAAAACCAGGATAATGTAAGCGCCCAACAAGTTGCCGAAATAAGGATGGATCCGAACAAGAAGTTGAACCAGATTTTGACTTGTTTGGAAGATGGTACTGCAGGTGTTGCAGCCCCTTACAAGCCCATGAAATTTGGCTTTAAGGAGTAGATCCGTATATATTCTAGATTGAGACAAAAACCAATTGATCCTCATGCCAAGAAGCCTCAACCCCAAGAAATAATAAGCCGACCTAAGTCTTTTCAACAAAAAGGACCTTCTGAAGCTCCAACTAATGACTTGAGTTTATGCCAAAGGGACATTTTGAATTACCAGTTAAAATTATGTCGTCGACCATAAACAAGACAATAAGAGAAATGACTGCATTCTGTAAGAGAATAAACAAAAGAGGTCCAATCTTGGACTTTAACAAAGCCAACAGAGAGTAAAAGCAGTAGCGCAAGCAACTATACCATTGACGAGGGAGCCTATTTTAGCCATAAATTGAACCGATGGAGCAGGACAAACATGATTGGGGAATAGTTGGATCTTTGTACCCCGGGGGTTACTTCATATAAACCTTCTCATTAAGAAGACCCATGCAAAAAAGGCATTAGACACGTCTAATTGCTTTACTAACCACCGGATTTGTAACAGCAATAGAAAGAAACCCAATCGGGAATGGTCGTAGGTTTCACAACTGTAGAAAATGTTCCTAGTAATCAATCCCATGACGTTGATTAAATCCCTTAGCAACTAGACGCGCTTTGTACTTGTCTAGATTTCCATCTGCCTTCTCTTAATACGAAACAACCCATTTGCCATCCCACTATAATTTGCATCAATAGGTGGTTCAACCAAAGACCAAGTACCCAAAGCAATCAACGAATTAAAGCTCCGCAGCCATAGCATTGCGCCAAGTTTTTTGATTTTTTTTGCATCATTTACGTCATATGGTAAAGAGTTGGAGGGAGGAGGGAGCAACAGATAAAAATACCCGAGGTTTCAATGAGCCAGTTTGAGACCGAGTCACCATAGAGTGTGTTCGAGTGATAGGAGCTGCAACAATCTGATTTTTAGTGACTGCCAACCGAGAATCAGGTGATTGAGAATCTGCTGAACCAACATCAACTACAGAAGGAGATTCTGCCACCAGTTCTAATGTAGCAAACAGATTGACAGAAGTACTAATAGTGGGAGAACCAGACACAGGAACAGTATCTTGAGAAGATTCTGATGATCACAGGAAACTGGGAAGGATGTAAAACAGAAGCAGATGGGGCAGATGTCGTAGTAGATGGTGTTGATGGGGAGATAGATAAGATGCCTTTTCC